CTCATCCCGCGTTGCTCCGGTCCCCTCCATGCGGGACCATTCCAGCCCCACGCGCAAGGCGAGGGGTGAACCTCCTCTTTGAGCACCCTTTCCTTAGCGCTGTCCCTGCTCCTTCCATTTAAACGTGGATGTTGTAATTACAGAGCACCGAATCCTGGTTTTTAGAGATGTGTGACCACAATAAAGTGAATCCAGAAACCAGCCGAGTGGTTTCATTTACTGCCATTCCAGCTCATTTCCTCCCCCCACGACCGCCGCGCAATACGAAGGGCTTGGCAGCAACTGAAACCAGCTGTCAAAAATGTTTCTTACCCCCACACTTTAAACTTAATGATGCTCCTAAATTAATGGCGTACTAGACTAATTTTGTCATCTCGTTTTGATGGAGTGGCAGCGTTCTTGGGTTCCCGGTGTGATCCTTGCCAGCTGGCTGCTTTGCTTTGAGGTAGCGCATGGAGGAACGGGATTCACAAGTGGAAGGTGTTGGTGTATGGGTGTGTATATATAAAATAGATGTTCCTGGTCCTGAAGTGTTTACAGCTCTAATTTGGTTTGTATATTATGGTTCACCAAACGAACTTTCAGGTGTCTAAGCCAGGAGCTTTTTAAAAGGAACCTCGTGCAAAGCAGAAGCGGAAAACCTCTTCCTCTGCTCGGAGCTGGGGGTGACAGCCGCTTTGTCACCTTGCTGCTGGTTGTACCTTGGTGCTTGCAGCGCCTGTAGCCCCGCGCTGGGCTCCCCTCTGCAGAGGGGCAGAACGTGGCTGTGCTGGAGGGTGGAGGGGCTGAGGCCAAATGAGCTGGGAGGAGGGATAACGACCTTGCAGTGCCTGAGAGCGGCAGAAGGGATGGGAAAAGCTGGTCTCCATGTTCCCCGTCTCCCCAGGGATAGGACATGGAGCAGTGGTTTTCCATGGTGGAAAAGGGGATGCACGTTAGGTATGAGAAGCGAATACGGAGAACCTGGAGACCCAGGTGCAGTCTCCATCACTGCCTCTCAGAAGTGATTTTGACACTGTCGTCCCTATCTTGTGGTGGGTGGATGGACCGTGCTGCTGTTTAACGTTCCTTCCAGCCTCATCTTCTGTGCTTGCATGGTTTATTCCTTTCTGTTTCCTTCAATGCAATGCCCAGACTTACAGTATTAGCGCATCCAGCCTTCCCCACCACTGAAATTCCGCAAGGAACCTCTTGGCTCCGTTAATTGTGTATCTGTTTAATTCCCAGCCGTGTTCTGAGGCTGCTGCTGGCCGCTCGGGAGGCTCCCTGCCGCCCTCTCCTCTCTGTGGCCATCCCAAGGAAGACACGGATTGTCCCACGTGTGCCTCCCTTCCAGCTCGGTAGGGAAGAGGGGCTCTGAAGAGGTGCCGCTGTGGAAACCTCATTCCAGCCTTAACTTGCTGGAGAGCAGGAGGTGTTTGTGCTCCCCGTCCCAGGTTATAGAGCCCAGGGACTAAGGGAGGTTCATCCTGGAGACACAGTCTGGGTTTGCTTTCTGCGGAGGTCAGTGGGAGAAGCCGCCGACACCGCGTGCGGATCAGGGCTGCGGGAGCGGCTCTTCCCGGCGGAAGCTGGACGGAGCGACGCGCGGGGCTGTCAGTGCAGATGCTCTTTCCTAGGAAGCGTGAGCGCGGGGCAAGGTCCGATTCCCGCGCACGTTTCACTCCGTTTGCCGGGGTAACGGGCACGACGCGGTCCGGCTGGTGCGGCGGCCCT